AGTTTAAATGTGTGTAGATCAATTATCGAGGCGCACATTCCCGTCGTAGCACTCATTTACGCCCCCCCCCCCCCCCTCTCTCGTGATTCATAGGAATTCCACAACCAGCACGTGATGAATATAATTTACAACATTTGGTTTGCGACATAAGGCCGTTCAGATGTTTCATTTGTGATTATTTAATATTCGGTTACAGCATGGTCGACGTTGCGCTGCAGCGTCGTTAACTCGATTTACGACAAGATGTTGTGTTGCAATTGTTCCGGTGTTTGTGCGCTTGGTTTTCTTTCGCGGAATGTTGCTGTGGCAAATTGTATGATATCTTCACAGTTTTCCATTCTAAAGTTACTATCTTTAGGCATCTTAGGCAATTCAGAAGTCTTGAGTAATTCCGTAGGAGGTGGTTTATTTATCTGGCCGCCCAATCGTGAACGCATGAGCTCTAACTCACTGAATGAGATCATCTCTCATTCAAATCAGTACATTAGTGAATTACAGCTCATGCGTTCATGTTTGGGCGATCAGATAAACGAACTACCTCTTGCGAAACTACTCGAGACTTCAGATTTTCCTAAGATGCCTAAAGATAGTTACTTTAGAATGGAAAACTGTGAATGCTAAATAGTATCACGGTGCGTCGTATATTTAATATTACGAAATGCTATTGTGTCATATCCGTGATTTATGACGGGTTGCTGTGTCGTTAATTCGTGATGCGACATACTCTCTTTTACTCGTTGCATATATTTATCATTCACATTGTTGCAATATACCTTGGTCTAGTTTACGACGTATTATCGAGTCCGATTTTCTAACCGGCTCACGTTTTCCCCGGGGCTACAGTTTACGACACATTGCTGTGTCGCAAACTACGAGATGCTGTCAAAGCAAGTATAACTGTCATGAAGGTCTCTTCCCTCTGTACGTTGACAATTTACAACAATTCTGACTCCAGTTTGCGACATACAGTTGTGGCACCTCTATCCATCATCATCAGACAATATGACTCAAATCTCCTTCTCCGGGAATCGGCAGAGTTTGCGATATATTTTACGACGTAATATTTACGACATGCAGCTGTGTGGCCTACAATCATTATGAAACCCTCACCTCCGCGATTTTAGGGTTTAGGGTTTCGAGGTCTGCGACATTTTACGACATGTTTGATTTTGACCTGTCGTGTGGTATCTGATCCGTATCAAAATTCCTCTTCCTTATGAATTGACCAGATTTGCGACATGTATATGACGCACGTAATTGCGACTTGCTATTGTGTTGCAAGGAACCAGCATCAAGATCTCGCTTCCTCCACACGTCCTCGAGATTTACGACACGTTTACGACACGTTTACGACACTTGTCAAACCGACATTGGAATTTATCCATATGCGCAACATAGCATATTTACGAAACCCTTGTCTTTACGATATACGCAAGTGTGGCATCCAGTTATCATCGGTGGCTCACCCTCCGCGAGCACGCGGGATTGCGACATATTTACGACATTTGTATTTGCGACATGCCGTGCTGGTGCTCTAATCATCATCAGAGTCTCTCCTCCTGCGTGCGTTGGGGTTTCCCTTTCGCCGTTTGAAACCAGTCGGTGCAGAAGTCGCGAGATCTGTGGCATTTGCCAAACAGAGTACCAATGGGTGTGGTTCAATAACACAATAACACAATAACATGAACATCGCCATGCAAGATAGTTTGACAGTCTGTGCCATTTGCCAAACAGGGTACCAATGGGTGTGGTTCAATAACACCATAGCACAATAACATGAACATCGCCATGCAAGATAGTTTGACAGTCTGTGCCATTTGCCAAACATAGTACCAATGGGTGTGGTTGAATAACACAATAACACCATAACACCATAACATGAACATCGCCATGCAAGATAGTTTGACAGTCTGTGCCATTTGCCAAACAGAGTACCAATGGGTGTGGTTCAATAACACCATAACACAATAACATGAATATCGCCATGCAATATAGTTTGACAGTCTGCGCCATTTGCCAAACAGAGTACCAAT